TTGGATAATTAATATTTTCCCATTTGAATCCATCAAGAAGTGGAATAGTATATCGCATCAGCAGTAAATGAGAGTCATTATTGCGAGAAGTATACTACACTTCATTCACGGTTAAGCAGCCAACTGAGTTTTAATCTTCTCCTGAAGATGCTGACATAGTGAGCGAAACACGTGTCGAGATCCAAAAAAAATGGTTTGGTAAGTGGTGAAACAGTGTGTAGTGCCACATGTGTGTTCAACACTGGTCCATCGGATATCATCATTTATCTTTCGAGAGGAGCAAAATATTTTCGGAAGTATTGACGCTCTGTCACTAACTTAGATCAGCTCGAATCACGGCACGTTTGGACATCCATTTGTTTTTGTTTCATCTCGTTATCACATGACAGACGTACGTCCAGAATAATGGCAGCAAATAAATCGCTGTGTGGTGCATTTGACTCAGATTAAGAAGTGGCACAGGTAGCTTTTTGAGATCTACCATTCAATTGGTATCGGATGGCATAACTCCTATCTCGTTGATTTATCGCTGAATTGAGTACACATTACAGCACAGGAAAGTGTCGTTTTTCAATCATTCGGCTCAAGATAGTGATTGGCGAAGGTGACGTTCGATAAAATATAATGTTTATATAATGGAAATATATTATTTCGTTATCAGATAACAGTTGAAATTTTTTGCAGGCCGGATCACAAGAATGAATGATCAGAGATAGGAATTCAATTTTCAGTTTAAAAGTTTGACTATCTCGGAAACTGTTTTTTTATACGACACCTGCATAGTTTCAGTGAGATGATAATATTCTGCAAATAGTATCCACCAATAATTTCGGTGTGTATTCCTAAAAGAGACCCCAAATCACATGTGACCAATGCTTCATCACGAACCTATAAAAAAACGCATGCGTTCAGTGTACTGCGTGGTACTCGAATCCTCGCCTAGAAATTCTTATCTGTGCTTCTACCCAACCTATTGCAGGAAACAAATTCCAAGCAGATTAAATATGGCCTCTTTATTGTTTTTTAATAATCCTATGATACTTCAGTTGCACCATGAATCTTTTTTTCAATATCTCCGAGATATAATGAATGAAGTTGAGATAATGAACCTTCCTAGATATTATAGTTTCGATAAAAAAATTGAATCTGGTATTATTTATATAACCTCAATCGGATACGAGCATTTCGAATAAATTTGCCATTTTGAACACTCTATAACTTTTTCAATTTTTGACCGATTGTGGTGAAATCTCGACCAAACCATAGATTTAGGTTTCGGAGTGTCAGCATGGATTTTGATTTGTGAAAAAAACGGATGGCTTCATCATTATACAGGAAAAAAATAGGAGTTACTTTTTCACCTTTAACTTCTTAACATTCTGGGTTTTATCTCACTGTGAAGTTAGTAAAAAATTGATATATTCGTATTTTTTCTTTTTTCCTTAAGATCAAATTTCACTTCAGAAAAAAATAAATACAGGGGGAACTTGGCTCCTCCACTATTCCTTTGACGTACTTTCTGAAAGTCCACATATAAAATACGATCTCCTGTGCCAGTACGACGTTGCCGACATCATCAATATGTCTAGATTTCCGAAAATCGTTCTTTGTATGCATAATAACTATATCATAACAGCAATGGGATATAATAAGTTCTCCAATCCCTCTTTGTCAAGTATTATGAATAATTCCCATAAATCTCTCATTGACTGAATGAAGTTGATTACTAATAAAGATAAATTGTGGAATTTCACGATAGGATCTTTTTCACTATCGTTATATTACGATATGTTATTCATGACTTCTCATTAATCATTATTTTTTGTTAATAAATTCGTTTTTCAATAAAATGGATCTATTTTCTGGGTAAGTTGCAGATTGAATCTTGCAACAGCGCCAAATACTTCAAATCCGTCCACACCACCCAAAATACTGACAGACACAACGAAAGGAAAGACCCATGGGTTTCGGCTTCATTCTGTTCAGACCGATGGCAGTAAATTAGGAAGGATAGTAAAGTGTATAATCTCTGGTATCATTGAATGTAGACGATAGCCGTTTAGGATCGAGTTCTATTCGAGATAATTCAATGCATAATTAACAAAACCATAACCTGTCAGAATGGAGCCAACTACCTTCGGCACTTCTGCTCCGAGTGTATTTGTGGTTATGTATGTTTGTGTTTACCAGTTTAACTCCTTCTTCTATTTTTTTAATTTGTTTTTCATTCGTTAGCTATTTGTTAGCTATTCGCTAGCTATATTCTTCACCATCAGCTATTTTCAGAATAGATGCAGAATGTACGTCACAGTTTGCCGCCCCGAATATTAGAAATTACTTTAATTTGAAAATAGAAACGACTTGGGCTTCATCGGTCGCCATTCTGTTGAATATGAGTCTGATCCCTTTTCGCCTCTTCTCAACACAGTGGTTCTTGATTCATATGAATATATCTTTTTCAAGAGAAAATGTAAATGTTTCGAAAAAGTATGAAATTTTGAAGCGTTTATTAAGAATCATTCAGAACCTATAGAACATCTTCGGGATGAAGTCCAGGAGCCTATTCGCCCTCCTGTGGACTTGTTAGAGACTCTTCAAGAGTCAATTCCTCAAGACTGCTTCGAAAAGTTAATCAAATGATGCCACAGCGGTCGAATTCTGTAACTGAAGCTCGATAAGGCATACTCGTTATTGACTATAACTAATAGGTCTGCTTTTGGTTTGTTTTCAATAGGACATTAAGGTTTCTCCTTGACGGTAAGTGCTAAAAAATGGTGCGAAAATAGTAATATAATGATGGAAGTAAGATATGGTGCGCGTATTCGGCAATTATCACGTATTGAAAATTTCAGAAAAATCACTCGACCGCCTACTATGATTTCTCTACGTCACAACGAGCGACACGTTGATTCTACATTTTCCCGCTAGATGGTGATGCTGCTATTGCTGCTGTGACGAGTGGAAATAAAATGACAAATAGCATTTTAGGTACGCGGAACATATGTAACAGTGGGATTATTCAACTCTGAATTCGAAAAATCTGCTACAATTTCAAAACTGACAGATGTCATAATTGTGCAATGTCACCATCTATTATAGAAGATCGACGGAACCATTGCTCTCGCTGTTCTCGAGAGGTCGAGTAAAATTTCTGAAACAAAAGCGCATCAGTAATTACACCATATCTTACTTCCATCAATAGTGATATCATTATTCAGATGATTTATCGAGTTGTCGATCGAAGAGTTCATGTAGGTTCTGCAAATTAAAAAAATCCATATACTTTCTTAGAACTCTTGGTATCTATTTTTGAATAGAAATATTGACATGAATCAGAATCATTACATTGAAAAGAAATTACAATTAATTCAATCTGAAACATGATGAAACTATGCTTAATCACTCAATTTTGCCACAGGGTGTTGAGAAGTTGGGAGTGGAATAGTGAATTTTGTTTTTTTCTGTTCGATGATCAAGCCATAAATCCAGGTTAACGTTTCGAAACAAAAATTCTCGATATGGTCGAAATTTCACCGATATCGGACAAGAATAAAAGAAGTATAACATGGTGATCAATTTGGCAAAAATGTTTGCTGGCCGGTTCAATTTGTCAATTGTTATATCTATGGATATCTGTTCCGAATATATTCTGATGATATTCTTCAAGTTGCATTATCATTAGGAAATATGTCGCTGATGAAAGAAACATTTTGAAATTTCGATTCAGATGTGTAGTCAGCTATTGAATATTGAGATTCAGATAATGGTATATAATCTAGCGATGCAGAGCGGAAACAAAATTTGCGAGTCAAGCAAAGTCATTTTTGCTCCGAATAAAACATGCTATTTTTTCTGCAACCGAAAGAATTAACTAAAATAAATAACCACTAATGAGACTTTTTTTGGCAGATTAACCTTTATTTCAATAATATGAGTAAGTAGAATGAAGCGAGACCTCAGTCCAGTTCACTTTGTTACAATTTGTGTTAACATGCGCATCATAATATGTTATCATGCAGATACTGCAGTTACGAATTCATTTAATCAATTTTCAAAGATGTTGAATTGTAGTTTCAATATGAATACAACCACAGAGTGACCCATTTGTGTGAATGAATGAATCAATGAATTCATTTGGACCAGGTGTCAGCCCTAATAGCAAATACTGCGCCATTGCCAGGTATAGGAAAAAGAAGTGGAAAATGTTATGTTAGTGACCATATCAACAATAATGATAGCGATTATTCAATTCTTTCCATATTCCACTGTGTTTGTTTCGGTAATCAATTGAAGGTAAACAATATCGCTGTGTGAGACAAAAAAGTATTGCTTGCCGTGATTATTCAAAAACGAGTTATCCATCCCGAGAATAACGAATGAAATACAGATCAAGCAAGTATTCGAATCTTGAAGGCTTCCCTGAACAAAACGAAAATACTCAACTGAGATGTTTATAATTCCAATACTTAACTGTCATAAGGTGTTGTTATATCTCCAGTATGGGTATAAAATGCCAAATCTGCCGAAATCGGAAAAAATCAGGTATGCGTCTCAACCCAAATAATCAACCGTAACAATGTAGTTTATTCTTGATGATGTCCAGTACATCCTTTTTAGTTCCTAGGAGTTAAAGTTCAACTGAAGTTCAACTTTAGCTCCTAGGAACTGAATATGTTTGCCTAGCAACATACCTATTTTTGTGTCAGTAATGGAAACGTCGATTCAAGAGCTAATTTTGGTATAAAAATGGACGACTTTTGTGTCGGTTGCAGAAAAAAGAAATATACATCAATGATCACACTGCATATTCACTTTGAGGTATTCAAATGACATACATATACGGAATCAAATTCATTCAAAAATGTAATTTTTATGATATATGAGTGACATAATTTCGACTGCGAGACTGCGAGAACAAGAAAGAAGTGGTATTGTCTACAACCATTCCTCCAGCTTTAAGAATACCACTTTTCATTCAATTTCTCAATACCGTGTTCCAGGAAAACAAGTTGGGAGATATTTGCTTTTCATTGAGATACGTACCAACAGCTGGAAAATTAACTGTTGTGATCCTGGAGGCTAAGAACTTGAAGAAGATGGATGTAGGTGGTTTATCTGGTAAGCTATTATATCTTTTCGATTTCTTAGATCAAAAGGCTCATCGAGGAATATGGATTTTATCGAAATAAATACATATATTGAACACAGCAATATATTTTGGTTCAACAAACATTTTCAGAATAATCGATTTTTTCTAAGTCTTTGTCTTTTTTTGTATACCAAGCGACCGGTCGAAACCAATCGTATTTGATATTGTGATCAGTCACGTGACACTAACGCCCAGTTCACCAGGCCGGTTGGCAACCTAAAACTTGATTTCACGTGATTGAGTGTATTTCTCCACCATCAACTCTCTCGCAACAATTATTAATAAGATAATTTCATTTCCTACTTTTCGGCCATTTTCTGTGATATCAGGAATAAAAAAGAAAGTCCTCCTAGTATATCATTGGAACTCTGCTCAAGTTTCAGAATTCATTTCAGTGTAATCCGAATCAAAGTTGATGCATTCAATGACAATGATTTTTTCAGATCCTTATGTGAAGATAGCTCTGATGCAGAACGGTAAAAGACTCAAGAAGAAGAAGACCAGCATCAAGAAATGCACACTGAATCCTTATTATAATGAGTCGTTTACATTTGAGGTACCATTCGAACAAATACAGGTTAGTCACTTTATATCGAAATTTGATTCAGACTAGTTTTGAAACTGTTAGAATTTACTCATCACCCATAGCAATAGTTCGAACATTCAGCAATGAAATCAGGCGACTATAGAAGCAAAACTAGTCTCATCCACTTTTGGTGAAAAATGAGTTAGATATTATATATAATATATAAATACTGTCTGTAGGTTAATCGAGGAGATTGTACATTCATTATCCCAGATTTTTCGGGATTTTCTCTTCTCGTTTCTATGAAATATAGATATTATTTCAATATACGTGTAGTTAAGACAAATCAGATGATTTGCCCCAAAATGCCACTGCGTTCAAAGAATTTCCCTATCAGAGAGCCTGAATTAAGAAAAATTCACTAGCTTGTCAGTGAGAATTTGTATTGAAAGAAGTTTGGAGAAGAGGAAAAAAGGTATATAGGAAAAGTATGAGATATTTACTTAGCTTTTGACGTTACGGGAACGAATGTGCTCCCGTTTTCAACATAAAAATGATTTTTTTCTGTGACGGGAAAAAAGTTTGGCATTTCATCTCTGTTGGCAGGTTATAAAATGTCACTTTTCGTAAATTACTTTTTTCCCGTGAAAAAAGAGTGAGTACTTTTTATCCCGGATATATATCTCATTATATATACACTGTTGATGGCTTTTGTTGTGCTATAGTTCCGTAAAATGAGTCAATAATACAGTCTCCGAGAAAGAACTGCAAGTCCTTTTATCTTCCATTCGACTTCGCTGTTACGTATATTACTAAACAACTACTAAATTCGCAATTTTTTGAAATCAAATTACAGAATTAGACTGACAGAAGTGACATCAGATATTTGATTACTTCAAAAGGATGATGAAGTTGCCTACAACGCAGGTGTCCCTACTGTTAAATACTTAAAATTTCACGTCGATAAATTTCAAATTTCAAAATAATGTAATATCTTCTCGTTATTGATTCGTCCATTCTCCTGTAACAGAAAAAATAGTGTATTAAACACGGGAAAAATATTAGATTTTAGCTCACGGTTTTTTATCTCTCTCCGCTACGCGTCGGGAGACAACACAACATGTAGCTAAAATCTACTACTTTTTTCCCTCGTATAATAAATAACTATTTTTGTATCGCAAATTCGTATTTGTCCTCACACTCTTCAGTTCTCAGTGACAATTGGTGACGTTGGCAATCAAATGAGTTACAGGATGTTTCCATTAATTAATCTTGAATTTACCATTTCTATTTTCAAATTCCAAGAGTGAATACTATGTTCTATCTATATCAACTGAACAGGAAGCAATGCTATTGTCTCCGTTCAGAAGAATGCAAGCAGATTCCTTGATTTTTCTCTTCTGGTTGTTATCTTCTTTTCCAATGATTTTAATAAACATATCCTCACTGACGATGGACAACATATGACAGAGTGGAATACTTGTTACATAATATTCTATTATAATTCTAGAATTTGTTTCAGGAGAGTTTTGTTCCTATAGACGCCTCGAATAACTCACCTCTACAGAGCGTTCATATGGATTAATTCCGTTAGACGTGTCTCATTGACATCCGATAATTTTCGAATATTTTGTTTTTTCAGAAAGTAAATCTGGTAGTCACCGTAGTCGACTACGACCGAATCGGCACATCGGAGCCCATCGGCAAGGTGGTGCTTGGCTACAACGCCAGTGGAACCGAGCTACGCCATTGGTCTGACATGTTAGCGTCACCGCGCAGGCCTATTGCGCAGTGGCATACCCTCAAGGAACCTGAAGATGACAAGAAAGACTAAGGAGGAAACGTCGCTTACAACGCTGATTTAATGTAATGTGGAGTCGTGGGAATACACCTAGTCAGAAGATGACGCACTTTACAGGGTGTTTCAGATGCAGATGTACATACGATACCTGCAGATAGAGGACACTTTGATGATTCAGAATCACCCCTCATTGATGTGCTTACCGTCTATCATAACTGAGGTATAGGAAGTGTTCCTAATTTTGACAAAATATTCATCTGGTCATAACTTTTGAGCCCCTGTGTATGTATAATCTATCCATACTTAGTAGGAATATTCCACTCATGTTTTCTATCAGAACTGAATGAACATGAGATCAGAATATAGGTCCGTCTTAAGAAAAAATAGAATACTCCTTTATATGAAAAACAACACTCGGTAATGTAACATTTTATAGATCTGTTAAAATGTGTTAATTTGTTTGTAACGTATTTTACCTGAATGTCGTTTGTTTTGAACTGGACTGAAGATATTTTTGTGGACGAATTTTCCTGTTAACCTGATGAGTAAGTAACCTCACTTTTATCATTTTCCAAGTTCATATTTAACAATTTCAAATTTCGATATTATATAATGTCTTTTTCAAATCAAAAGTTCATCAAAAAGTGAAAAGTCACCAATTTATTCTTTAAATTTCACTTTTTCAATATCAAGCAAATTTCCAAAGTAAAAAAAAAATTAAAAATATTTTTCAAAAATTTTTCAGATTTTTTTTTTCGAATTTTCAATTTCAATTTCTTTCGAATAGCTAAAAGCAGATTACTTACTTACAGGTACGCACTGATGATGAAAGCGCTCTGCTACAAATAATACATTATTTTGCACGAAATACAAATCTTCCCTTCTTTGGTATAGAGTAGAGTAGAGTAGTTTATTTGACCATGTTATGTAAATTACATGTACGGCAAGTCATAATTACAATAGCCATAGTGCTAAAAAATGAAGATAATCTTCAACCTCAATCACTAAAGTGCAGAAATAGATTAATTAAAATACAAGAATACATGATTAAAAATACATTATAGGTATGTTAAAGATTGAACATCAAATGATCTGAATAAAATATATAAAACAAAAAATAAGATAAAAATAAATAAGAACAAAACATAAAAATAACAATGTCCTGTTGAAGGGACTGATAAATGACAGGTTAAAGCTTCAGTGAACTTGCTGCCTCCATATAGGTATCAATATTATAAAAACAATGGCTCAAAAGGAACTGTTTGATGACAGATTTGAATTTTTTGAATTCCAACATTTTGACGGAGCTGTGCAGAATATTATAAATATTGAAATTTAAAGAGTTTCTGCAGCTAACAGCTAATCTGTGTCGTGGGGTTCTCAATAAATTAGCCGATCTTGTATTATGACTATGGAAGTCAGACTGTTTACCAAATTTACTCACATTTTGGTGTATTTCTAGCAAAACTGTGAATATATTCACGTGCACACAGCCCAGCAACCCTCACTAATAGACGAATACAACAACAACAAGAAGCTTTTTGTATTTGTTCAACATTTCATTCCAATTTGAGCATTGTGGCTATTTCGTAGTTGAAATGACGCCAGTCGGGCAACCAGCAGTGTTTCTTTCCTTCGTTTCTACTCAGATGGCGTTGCTTTCAAATTGTCTATGGAAGACGCCTCTGGGAGAATATAATGCCTACTTGATTTTTGGTTGGCAAGGCTTCGCTTAGTAGGCAGTCTTAGGACTGCTGGCTGGAGACTACCCTGCACTGATGAGAGTCAAAGAGCTCGAAACCGGTCTGTTGGTGTCTAGCGTAGCGTGGCTAAGTCGAAATCAATAGGCATTCAAAAAATATTCAAATGTATCAGTATTTGTTTACACGAGTAGATACGTAGATTTCGGGAGGATGTAATACAATGTTCTTCGTGGCATTAGCTAGGAAAGTAGTTGTTTTTCTCCCGAAATCAACCATTGTTGTTTATTTTTGTATTTGTTTCAACATTTCCTTCCACTTTGAGCATTGTGGCTTTTTCGTTGTTGGCATCCTTATTAGTTCCTAGTGACTAAACAACTTTAGCTATTAGGAACTAAAAATATTGCCTAGCAATATACCTATTTTGTGTCAGTGATAGAAACGTCAATTCAAAAGCTGATTTTGGTATCAAAATGGACGACATTTGTGTCCGTTGCAAAAAAATTAACATCATTCGAAGTTCAACATCATTCGAGTGAAATTACGTAAGTATCGATGAAATTGTTCGTTTGACAGTATCTAACTTTCCAGTAATTTTAGAAATTTTGGAGGGCCCACTTTATTTCCCACTATTTATTCATAAGCTGCGGTAAAGTAGCTCATGATCACTAGTGTGATAAGGATGTGGTGTCATATTATTGGTGAAGTTGAGGGTATTCAAATATAACGGACATATATCTATCATGATCACTTTGAAATGTAACAACATCATACGAGCACTAACAATCATCATAATGATACCAATAATATCGAACTAGTGATATGAACTGTCCGAATATTAGAATATTTTGCACAGCCTACTCAACATCAGCTCATATCGATGACTCACCTAATTTTACTCTTATGGTGTTAAACTTTGAAAACAGTTCTTTTTTCTATCAAGATTGGATTTTGAATTACGAACTCAAAATGGAGTCGAATATATTTCAAAACCTCACAATAAAACACCTTTCAAATTGAATGCGCACTTCGGAAAAGTAGGTCAGTTCAATTTTTTTTCCGCTCTTTTCAGTCTCTTCAAATATCAGAATAGATCTATGAAATTTTGCCATACAGTTGTTTATGAAATGAAAGAAGTTTTCTGTTTCTCCTTAAGACGGACCTGGATCTCGATTTTCAATCAGTTTTCATGGGTAATATTAGTCGAACAATTTAACTAAGTATGAATGGATTCTTCAAAGTGGTAAGAAAAATATGACCAGATAAATATTATGTCAGTATCAAGAGAACTTCCTGCATCTCAGTTATTAAAGATGGTAGACGCATCAATGGGGGGTGATTTGAAACCATCAAAGTATCCTCTATCTACAGTTATCGTATGTACATTCAAATCTGAAACATCCTGTATATTTTTTCAGTTACAATATTTGCATGTTAACTGTATTTTTCTGATTTGATCGAAACACCAAGAGATGGAGATTTAGCTCAACATGCCTTTCGAGATTGATGCAGATAAATATAAGAAATATTCAATAAATTTATTCATAACTTCGTTCGAAGGTACTTTGAAATTATATTTGTAGTTTGCGCTGTTATTGTTTGCCATTCTAATTTCTGTCTCATTTCCACTGTCAACTAACCAACTTCACAATTCAAAATGATAAAAATACTATAAGTGAAACAAAAATGTCTTCGAGAGCTAATAATACAGAAACCGTTGAATTAAGACAATTTGAGATTATTGACTCATTTCAATCGTTCAACCATATTTTCTCAATGGACCAAGAAGATATGATTTAATTCACCGAAGTATCAGAGTGCCACCATCACTGCCCTCTATCAGCAATCACAAAATAAATTACAAATTCGAATTTCTCTTGTCTGAAAACCTGAAAGTACAAATTCATCCTCACAAAGTTATTGAGGAATTTTGAAATAAAAACCTCTAGCAACATTTTTATAAGACATGTCAGGCTAAATCTTCATATTTTGGTGTTTACTATCTGTATATAATTCTGACATTGCTCATTAACAATGAATCACCCTGTATACAGCGTGTCTCACTTTGAACGGCCTCCCTCTATATCTCAGCTATTAATCGGACGATTCTTGCCAAATTCGAACTGGTACGGATAACTATCAATGTAATCAGTTTTTCAGACATGAATCAAATTTCATGTATATAAAATCCCATAGGACGCGTGATTTTGTCATTATGACAGCGAAGGAAGTTGGCTCTAACTTTTCCAGCGACAATAACGGAACCAGAGAAGTGAGTGAGTTTGTGAGCGAGGCATCACCCACGAGACGCATGGCCCTTTTTTGGACAGAATCCAACAGTTTCAGGGTATGTTTGGGTGCTGCACTCCAAATATGGAAACAGTATTCCAGGACAGGTCAGATCTGTGCCTTATAGATCATAAGCAGCTGACTGGAAGTGAAATAGCTCCTGGCCCGAAAAAGAAAACCAAGTTTTTGGGATGCACTTCGAGCAATTGATCTCACGTGATTTTCCCAAGAAAGGTTATTGCTGATAGTAATACCAAGCATCGAAAAGTAATATCGATATATCGTGTAATATCAGGATTATACGATTATGGTACGCAGCAAATTAGGCCTCTACTCAATATTACCTCAAGACATGTCTTTAGTTTTTCGCAAATATCTACGGATCCTCTACATTTAGGCATGCAGGATGTAATTACTTTCAGGTTGACAATCCTAACTGATGTTATTCACTTTCTTTGTGATCAAAAACAAGCTGTCCTACAATAGACTGGAATAGTGCTCGAATTTTTTTTTCCGAAAAATGAGTTTTTTGACCGTGCTTCGTATACACCCTGATTCACTTTAATTTATGTGATTATAACTAGACATGTTCATGAGTTTCGATCAATACATTTTCTAGCTTATTTTGTCTTATTTATACTGAGAAAACAGTTTTTTTCTTTGTCAGTCCTACCCCGATACGACGTTTTTACGAACTTTGTCGGCTCATATCTCAGAAACTAAACATACAAAACTTTTCAAACTCACATATTTTTTTAATAAGCCATTCCACAACAACATTGTAAAATTTCAGCCAATTCGACCGAGAGCCAATTTCCCGTGTTTTCGTGCGGGGTCCTTATTTAGAGAAATTTTAACTTTTTTGTACTTTGGACACCCTGTTCCTCAGTGAGCATGCATTTTAGGACATACGTTGATGGCGACTTTTCACCTCGAAATGAGTTAAGGAATCCGTGTACGAAGTTTGCCAGTCTTATTCTGACACCTGTATAGACACATTTCCACTATGCGAGGTATATCGGCATGCAATGCTTTTTCAAATCT